TATTAGCGTATAAAGTATATTCTCCCTCCCTTATGCATGTCTTCGTGGTGTAACGGTAGCACAATCGGTGCGTATTCCAGGTTCGAGTCCCGGTGAGGGCATTATTCATTTGTCATGTCTAGAGCCTCAAAATAACTTAATGACTCTAAATGGCGCCCGAACTAAAAGGTGGTGGTGGATGATTCTTCACACCAGAATTTGGCGATTGGGTCCCATAATTCCCAGTCACCCTTTAAAAGGGGGAGTATATAAGGCATTTTCTCCCTCCTTTCTGCATGCCTTCGTGGTGTAACTCTAGCTCACTCGGTGCGTATTCGAGATGTCCAGATTAGAGTTCCGGCGAGGGCATTGCTCATTTTTCACATCAGCTGCTTTGAAAATAACTTAATGACTCTACAAACGTTATGTTCCCATTACTCATTCTTCTTACCCAGATTCTTTCAAGAAGTATTTGTCGTAAGACATGTGTTTTTGTATATCTATGTTTTATTCTTTTCTGTGTGGTCTAGTAATAGCACACCAACCTCTTGGATAAAACCACGATTCTCTATTAAATAGTTTTTGTTTTATTTCGTTGTTTTATTGCTTTGTTGCTTATTTTTGGAGCCGGAGGAAATTATTCCATTATTATTGGTAACTGAACTTTTTACCACTTACTCTCTATCGTCACAAAACGTTGCGCATCATAAATTAATTCTGTAAAACTATTTTATTTAATACTATTATTCTATTATTGGTAAATCGAACTCCTCACCACTAACTGATTTTGACAAAGTATCATGAATTAATTCTGTAAAACTATTTTATTTAATACTATTATTCCATTATTGGTAATCGAACTTCTTACCACTAACTCTACCTTGACAAAATGTTTCGTATCAAAAATTTATTCTGTAAAACTATTGTATTTAATACTATTATTCCTATATCGTAATCGAACTTCTTACGCGACTTTATATCTTGGCAAAATATTATAAATTAATTCTGTAAAACTATTGTATTTAATACTATTATTCTACTATTGGTAATCGAATTCCTTACCACTAATTCATCTTACCACAAACTAATCTTGACAAAGTATCATAAATTAATTCCGTAAAACTATTGTGTTTTTGACATTGATAAAATACTGCGCATCATAAATTTATTCTGTAAAACTCTTGTATTTAATACTATTATTCTATTATTGGTAACCGATGCAGTGTAGGAATTTATGAGCATAAATAGTCAGTTACCAGTTTTCTCTTTTTTATGGTGGGGTGGTTTTATGGTTTTCAACTGATTTTATTTAAAGCTTTTAAATTCCTTTTCAAATGAATGTACAACCTGAAAGAAATGCTTTCGAAGCAGTGCCAAAAGAAAATATTTTGCAATTCAGGTTTAAATTATTTGTAAGTAACAAGCAAAGTTAATCGAGCTTTACATTTCTCATCATCTAGAGTAGATTTTCTAAGCGATGCAGGAAATAAAACTCAGAAATAATTTCAATTTATTTCGTATGCCATTGATGCTAATAAATGACCTTAGGTAGTTTGTTATATATAAGTTAAAATTTTAAAGCAAGTGAGGAGTTTAAGTCCCAATTTAATAAAAATTTAAGTGTTTGAATCTAAATTTTGAAAAATCAGTAATATAAAATAACATGCCTAAAATTTTGTCATACTGCAAAAAATTATTTTTTGTAAAATTACTGTAATAAAAATAAATAAAAACCTGTTATGTTTACACTATTTGCAAGACAGCCTATAATAAAACTAATCTTTTCAACAGAGAAAACCTAATCTCCTACTATGATAACGTCAGATTTTGGTCAGATACACTCTCTTCGAACACCAAAGCATACTCTTTCACGCAACCTCGCAAAAAGAAGTACAGTCTAGCGGAGCTAGATTAGTTGATCTCAGTAACTACTTCACGTAACTGTCCGATGTTACATTGAAAGAGCCAGGTATTGTGGTGAGATATCGTCATGCTACAACCCTGCTGAAAGCAGGATGACTAACGGCATAGCATCTAGGAAAGCAAGTGCTGTAGTTTGCAATAGCTCCAAGTACCTTCGTCCAGTTAAAGTTCTATCGTAAAACCATCCATCGTAAATATAAGGGTGTAAGGTTCTTATGCTAATTAACTAGTTACTATGATTTTGATCTTCAATTTGACTTTTTCTCTACATATTCAAATTAGCTTTTAGAGCATATAAGTTGCTTAGACAGAATGAGAGTTTTGCAGCGCTGTTAGAATTCGTCAGCTTGATATTAAAGTGAATATTCCGGCTTTTGCATTTTCTCGCAGCCGATACTTTAAACGCTCCAGTAAAAATAAATCAGATAGACTACCTTATATTTTATGTTATTATATGTTAGTCTTCGTCCACGTTATCAGAACAGATAACGTGGTTAAACTGAAAACGTTAAATTGCCCAGTCTGCAGGACTTAACTTCAGCTTACAGATCAATAGACACAGGGAAAGTTGCTCGAAGCCCCGCATCAGATATTGAGATCCACTTCATTGATTACTTTTTTTTTTGTCACCACGATGAATTTTTAACATATCTGTCAATGCAAAGTATTCGGGTTTAACGTCCCACTACAACTAAATTTCACCTCGTTGATTCACATAATGATGGAGAAGAAATCGTTCTCTCCTCCTCATGTACTTTTCCCGTGTGCCTATCATAAAGTTGTACTATTTTTACCCTTTCTGATATTCTGTCTGTAGCAACCCTTATGTTAGTATTGTAGCTGTGCAGGTAAGGTAGCAATTTATACAAAATATGTTATATACGACTGTTTGTTGCATTATAGTGACATTTTGCCAATGCACAGGCCAGGTCGTCCACTGCTTGCACGTGCATACTTGCAGACGTTGGCCTGCGTGAATGGTAATCTGTTTGTCTAGGCGTCGAATGAGCCTGGTGGCAGTAGGCCGTGAAAGAACACAATGCATATATCACACGCTAATATCTTGCCAACAACCACAATACTCGAGCTAGAAAATTAGTTTAGTTGGAATAACTAGTTACGTTTAGGCTCAAAGAATCCAGTTCACGTAATATTTAACAAATCTGGTGGCAGTAGGCCGTGAAAGAACACAATGCATATATCACACGCTAATATCTTGCCAACAACCACAATACTCGAGCTAGAAAATTAGTTTAGTTGGAATAACTAGTTACGTTTAGGCTCAAAGAATCCAGTTCACGTAATATTTAACAAATCTTCCTAGACTTTCAGTTTGTACTTCAAGATAAGCCAAAGCATAGCATTTAAACTTGTATGCTATTATTTTCCTATCACTGCTATGAAGACAAATTTCTTTTAAAGATTTTTTGCTTTGCGATGTTAATATATATGAGGATGATCGGGTATTAAGATTTCTGCATTCCAGTACTTTTCTTCAAGGACTGATGTCGATAATACATCACTTTGTACTACAAACTGGTTCTACGAATTTACTCCCAATTTATTTTGCTATGTTTCATAGTTTCTGAGATAAGATAGCTGACTTTCAAAAATTTCCTGTAGATGCGCTGCAGTTAATCTTAAGGTAGACCATTTTCACTTTGCTGGGGGTAGACAGAACATTTACGATTCTAGATTTCTCCCTTGCTCGGTATTTAAAGGCATGTACATAAACACACACATAGATTTAGCATATGTTACCCCATTTTCTTGCTAATTTCACCGTGTGAAAACCAGCAGGGCTAAAATATGCGGTATACATATTATTCTTAAAGCAGCAGCTTATAAATATAGCACGTTTAATAAATGAAAACATAGCACTTAAATAATAAACATATCCACATTAAAAAGCACAAATAAAGACATACTAATATTATTATATTATATATTTAGCAATTTCAGTAATCTTTTTTAACTTACAAATGATTTCTTGTTATTTGTGCATGTATTTTACGCTGTTATAAATCCGAAGTTTCTAAATCATATGCTGAGAAAACAAGAGAGGAAATATAGAAAGGAAGAAATATGCCAGTAGATACAGAATGTAATAGAACGAAACCTCTTTCATGATGACCACTTTTCGTAGGCTTCCATATGTCTGAAGGTATATGGCATTTATTCAAACATTAATAAGGCATCATACTAAAGATAACCAATAATTATATTTTACAAACTATCCTGTAATGTATTAAATGTGTTGTATCTTCCTCATTCAGAGCAAGGAATCAAATTCATCAAATTTGGCAGATAATGGAAAACAACAAGATAAAGAATCAAGGAAACAGAAAATACAGTTAATTTTTAAGGAAAACAACAAACATATTACTTTTATGACTTAATCCGATACTTAAGTAAACTTAATTTGATTTAATAATTTTAATATAATAATTTAAAATTTAATAAAATAATATTATATATAAAGTTTAATAATTGAAATGTTTATTTAAAATTATATTTTTATTTGAATTTAATTTTTTGAAGGTAGGTTGGTACGGGAATATAGTGTAATTGCCAAAGAAATAAATAAATATGCATAAATAAAGAAAATACTTAATTTATTAATTATAATTTTTAATTTATGTTTTGTTTTGCTTATAAATAGGATTATATTATTATTTACAAGTGAAGATAAGAGACTGCTTTTCTATGTTTTGAAATGTACCAATGATATTAATTGTAATTAAGATAATTTAAAAAGAGTTAGTTTTTCAGAAACAGTTATTTTATTTTCAAATCAATATTTTAATTCTTACATTTCACATAGCATTTACTATTAAGTGGCAAGATAATAAAATTCTAAAATGCTTTCACAGGAAAATTAAGAGTGCATTGCTAAAATTAAAAGGAATTTACTTAAAATTGCAAACTAAAATGAAAACGAGTACATATCATTCAATGTATAACGCTATATTAATATATCCATAGTAGCAATTAAAAAATGAAACTCAAAGGTTTAAGTTCTTATTAGAATGCATTTTCAGCTAATTCACAAACAGAGGTGATGATTCAAGATATAAAGGAAAATTTATCTTACTTACTCTAAGAGAAGGTTCGTCAATTTTGTTGGAACCGACAACACATTCCGAGAGAATGTAGTCAGTTTATTGTGAGAAATTCGCAAGTATGTTAAATTTGTTAGCTGTGCAAAACTGTCTGTTTCAATTTCTGTGATATTATTTTCAGATATCGTCACAGCTTCTAATGATTTGCTCACATAATCGCTAAAAGTGGCTGGTATTTTATTACCGATGGTTGAATTATGTACAAAGAGTATTCGAAGTTGCCTCATACTGGAAAACTGCTGCCAGGATGTTTCTTCACCAAATTTTACATTTTGTAAAGAAAAGTGGTGCAAATTTAATCCATTTTCCCCAGTAAAGTTTTCAATTCTGTTAAATGTGCTATTTGATATGATTAAGGTTTGTATTGTAGAGTTAGCAAAACATGATAAGGGCAAAAATTCAAAATTAATCATTTCTATCTCTAGAATCACTGCTGTTTCGCTCAGCCTCGCTGACATTTCTTGAAAGCTATTCACGTCTTCGATACCTGAACATTTCACACTGTGGTAATAGGGTCCTTCAAACTGGCATGTGCACCTGGGGTTGTCTAACACTGAGCATGTCTGCTGGGGAATTTTCATGCCGATGTTGACCAGTGGCAAAACTAAACCTATTAATAAACTCATCCAAAACATCGCGCAGATATTGAAAGTCATTTTCACGTTCTCGTGTAATAAAAGAACTTTATTGATATTAGATGATCTTATATATATGCAATCGATTTATAGACGTGTTCCTTGCGTCAGCGAGTTTCTTCCCGATGAGAGCGATAAAGTCCTGGGAAAAGGAATCGATAAAATCTCGTCAGGGTTCGCTTTGCGTTGCTGTTTAACATGACTTACTCAGCACATCTTGTTCTTTTGGGAAGAGGGAAATATAAATATTGTGGTTAAACTCTTATTGTATCGATTAGACCTCCGAATAAAGTCGAATTGAATCAGTGGCATAAAAATAAAGTTTGTTTAGTCAGCGTAAATTTTGTTCAAGTGATTTTACGGGGGGAAATGATAAAAATTGAAAAGTGTTTGCTTTATGATAATTTCAAAAGTTTCAACTTTATTGAAATAAAATTATTTGAATACTCAGGTGTTTTAGATTATAAACTAAATTTCATTATACAGTGTATTTATACTTAATAATACAGAAAATACCAAAGACTAATCTTCATAATTAATATATTGAAAAATAAAGAATAAATTATATTTATAAACTAAACGTTTTCCTTATTTAATTGCAGGCAAGCCATTATTTGCTACATGTAATATTATAACGTGCAATACATTATAACAATGCTAAATATATCTTGTTTATTAGAGTTACTGGTCTTTTTTAGTCCATTGTTTAAGGAATAAGAATTACGCTGCGTAAATTTGCATCAGTTTTGTTGATAATATTATTATAGGTAAAATTATATTATTTTGTGTTTTTAAGAAATCATCATTCGTAATTTATTAAACAAAATATGTCTCAGTAATCGAGAATGCCTTTCATAGTTTACACGCAGGTCATTTGCAAATCATATATAATACTGAATTTTCTCAAAGCGTAATCATTTCAGTTCCTCAGTTTCAGTTTCTCAAAGCGTAATCATTTCAGTTTCTCAGTTTCAGTTTCTAAAAGCGTAATCATTTCAGTTATAAATTAATTTAAGATTTGGATTCAATGTGTGCATGATACATTTTTGTACATAATCTCAGCCTTATGTATTATTTGTCAAATCCTTATTCTCACAATGACACTTTACATAATTTTGAAAAAAAATAATTTAAACCACTTGTTTATTAACTGTACAAGGAATTAAATCTATTTAATATTATAATTATCTTTTTTTTTACTCTAATTTTCTTGTTCAAAGAAACATATATCTAAGTTTTAGATTATTAATACATCGAGCAAAGTATTTATTATAAGCTCTTCTTAATCTCCTGTAAAACTCATTGTATATTATTACATGCACACAAAACGTACCGTGCACTAGAGGGATTTAGTGGATTTAGATAAATTTCATTGCTGACATGAAGAGTTCAGAAACATGCGTTTAAGATGCTAAGCATTCAGGAAGATAGCTTTATCAGAGATAGCAACAAATGATTCTGAGATACACCATCAATAAACTATTCGAAGAGATTATTAGTTACTTGGTGCACCACTATTAACTTAGTTAATAATACAAATGAGACATCTGAGCGTTCCATGTGATACTGATTACCAACCAGCCTTGATATCATTAAATGATTGAGTGACATTAAGAGTGGCCGATAGCATCAACGGAGAAATGTGATGTCTGCATCATGGGGTAGGTCCACGGACACCAGGAACATTAATATAATCCCTCGTTAATGGGAATCATCATCTATAGAAATCTGTAAGACTACTAGAATGAGGCTGAAAATCATTCCTCAACTGGTTAGAGCTCGAAATGCAAACACAGTTGTCACTATAATATTATTACATTTACTTACCTTCCGCCATCATCTATTGCATTTAGGATCAAATATTGCCTGGATAATTTAGGATTCCTTCGAATGATCATCAACCTCTCTTTAAAACTGAAAATTTGTAGGTGAGTCGGATGATGATATGAATTAATCACTGATATTTATAAAAAAAGACAGTTAATAATGGCATAATACAACGCGAACATACGCGTACTTTTCTTGATTTACTGAGCCAATCTGACGTGTGATACACTATATGTTTGACAAGATTGTGTGACGCACAATTATTTTCGATCTTGGACAGCTTATCTTCGCAACTTGTTCAACTCTAAGAAAATTTCAACTTTTATTTTTGTCATTTTCGAAAACATCTTGCTTTTCTCTCAGTTATCGTGTTCCCATTTTTTGTTCTTGCACAGATATGTGCGTTTACAGACCAAAAACTAAATAAACATTTCCATGGACGAACGTTATATTCGTCCAAGAATGAGTGTTAAACGAGCGTGCCTGATTCTTGCAAACGTAAACAATGCATATTTATCATCCCTTATCTTGTAAGCTTTATTTAAGTTAATTAATCTGTTGTTTTATGCTCCGAATCTATACTGTCAGTTCTCTCTTTCCGCTTTTCTGCCAGAATGCAAATTTAGCTCGCGTGTATTTAAGTGACAGTAAGGTTGTTTAAATTACAGCATGTTCTCCGTGTTAAACAATACGTTATTAATTATGTTCTATAATAAGCATTCCTGTCTGCGGCACTGATTTATTCTTTCCGACATTGCTGTCACGCCGGTGTAGGATTAAGGGCCAACTTCTCTATTTTAAACAGCTCTGCATATCCTTTGACTAATAGACTTAGTTTCAATTAAAAATTCTACTCTTGAGTTCACGCCATAAATGTAGGCTGATTTGTAAGCACCGGGTGTGCCTTCTGTTCAGCATTTTAGTTTTAAATAAAAGGGCCTTTTACGCACTTTGTCTTGGCAACAAGTCTAACAAAATAATAAAAATCATGTACATTTTGTACGTAGCTGGAGGGCTCAATGCCGTCCCTCCTGCCTTTTTCGACTCTTTTGTGTACTATACTGTATTTCCCAATCTTGTTATCTCAAATACATTTCTGCTAAAACTCCTTACTTCAGCAGCATAAAAAATAGAGTATCATACGGAATGTCAAAAGTTGCAGTATTTTAATTCTTCTTTCAACAAAATTTGTTATTGTAATCTTTTATTACAAATCTTAACATTATTTTATTACTTAAATTCCATTAATCTATAGTGAGCATACTAAACGAAACATAACATGTAAACTAAACTTATTCCACTAGTAATGCTGGTCCAAATATGTGCATTGCAAATAAGCCATCTGTAATATACTCAGCGAAGTACGAAAAAATAAAGTCTTAGCCATAGTGATAATTCGCTTACACGCTTATTCAAGAATTTGCCACAAGTTACATTTAGTTACTGGAAAATTCTCTACAATATCTGTAATAAGATACAAAACTGTATTTATTCTATGCTGCCTAGATGAAAAGTGTATGGCAATTATTTGTAGGTAATCTCTGCTTTGATCTTATAATCGATCACATTCCATTTGATTTACAATAGTTAACGTGAATTCTCAATTTTAGAAATCCTGCTCGAAAATTATAACACAGATAAACTATTTTCAGTCCTGTAAAACCGTTACAATGAATCTTAGCTCTTTGCTCATCTTGACTCATGTGTGCAAGAAACAATTCAAGTGTACTAAGCACTTTATTTTTTCGCACTTCACTGAGTATATTACACGTGGCTTATGGACATTCACAATGCACATATTTGGACCAGCATTCCTAATGGAATACGTTTATTTTACATTTTTTGTTTTGTCTAGTATACTAGTTTGCGATTTACTATAGATTGGTGTATTTTAAGTAATAAAAAATAAATGATTTGTAATCAAAAGTTACAATAACAAATTTTGTTGAAAGAAGAATTAAAAATACTGCTACATTTAACATTCCTTATGGAACTCTATCCTTTATGCTGCTGAAGTAAGGAGTTTGGGCAGCAATGTATTTGAGAGAACAAAGGTTAAGAAATACTGTATAGTACAAAAACGTGTCAAAAAAGGCAGGAGGGACGGCATTGCGAGTCTTATATAAAATATATATTATTACCCTGTATAAAATATATATATCGGCAATATGAAAGGTGCCCTGCATGTTTTTCTCATATTGTTCATCAGGTCAAACCTCATTAATCTCCTTGTAATGCTCAACTGAAGTAACTCTCCGTAACTTAGCATTATATGAAAAACTCAAAAACAAAGAGAAGCAGTGGTGCGATTTGCCTTTTGGCTTTGAAGCAATAAGGATCGTCTTCATATTTCTTACTATAGATAATCGTAAATGACTCTACGGTATTTTATCAATGACACGAAATTCTAAGCCCGTATTCTGCATCTTCTGATATGTCACGGAACCAGAGAGTGACGCTTGTCAACGGTCTATAAAATCCATACCGACACCGTTTCAGGGATAGGGGTTTCCATTTTTAAATCGGCATTTGCTGCCAAAGGTATCAGACCATCCTTTGAAATATACAACGTAATAAAAAACTGCGAGATTTATTGTTGGTAAATAAATATACAATTTGAGATCTATGATTGTAAATTTTTTACCACACGTATTAGTTAGAATTCAAAAAACAAGGAGTACAAACAGTGAGGAAATGTACAAGTAGTGATGTACAAACAATGTTGTACAAAAAGAGTAAATTAGTTGGCAGCATCATTTTTCAAGCTGAATATTCTCTTTCTACTATATTTTAGTCGAACACTGATTTTAATAGTTTAAGTAACTATAAAATTTTAGATTTATATTAATAACTAATATTTCATAATAACTATTCAAATTAATTTTTTGGCTTAAAAAATAGTTTGCTTAATTTAAAGTAAAACTTAGCATTGAAACTGATGCTGTGATGTTTAATCATGAGACATCTTACCATTTATTTATCTTGCTAAATACGATAAAAAGTGCATTTCAGTTCTCTCAAGTAACACCTTTCTACTATGAATTATATATAAATCTTCTGATATAACCTGACATTATTCTTGTCTGCAGCCAAGTTCTTTTATATTATTTCTGAGCTTAGACATAAATATTTGTCCAGCTTTTCATATATATTTTTACAGAATTTAAAGTAGCTGGTATAAAACGACGAATTTTCTGGAAGGGAAAGAATTCCAGATAAATCGCG